CACTTGAAATGTGGCTAGTCCAAATTGAGATGTGCTGTCAGTATAAAATACATATCAGGTTCCAGACTTACTATGAAAAAAATAACGTAAAATACTTAATAATTTTTATATGGATCATGTTGAAATGATAGTATTTTGGACCGATAGGATTAAGTAAAATGTATTTTTAAAATTAATTCTACCTGTTTTTATTTTTTAATGTGGCTTTTTAGAAAATTTTATCTTTAATTTTTTAAAAGATGACCAGTAAGGAGATCTTAACCCTTGACTTGGTGTCAGCACCACACTCATCCAGTGAGCTAACTGGCCATCCCTATATGGGATCTGAACCTGTGGCCTTCCTTGGTGTTATCAGCACCACACTCTCCCGAGTGAGCCACAGGCCGGCCCTGCTTTTAGAAAAATTTAGGGGCCGGCCTGGTGGCGCACTCGGTAGAGTGCAGCACTTGGGAGTGCGGCGGCGCTCCCGCCAAGGGTTCGGGTCCTATATAGAGACCGGTCTGCTCACTGGTTGAGCGCGGTGTGGGCGCGACACTGAGGGTTGCGATCCCGTTACCGGTCACGAAAAAAAGACAAAAAGGAAAAAAAAAAAAACACTGAGGGTTGCGATCCCGTTGCCCGTCGCAGTACGGGCGCGACACTGAGGGTTGCGATCCCGTTGCCCGTCGCAGTACGGGCGCGACACTGAGGGTTGCGATCCCGTTACCGGTCACGAAAAAAAGACAAAAAGGAAAAAAAAAAAAAAGAAAAATTTAAAATTACATGTGGCTTGCATTATACTTTGATTGGACACAGCTGATCCAGAGGATGACTAGAGGGTACTTCAAGCAGGGAGGGGCAGCAGCAGTGGAGGGGAAGAGGTGACAGATAAGGGTCTGTGTTGGATACAACATGTGCCAAAACCACTGAGGCAAGAAAGAACCTGGCACACCCAAGGAAATAAAAACCAAGCCTTACAGCTCACGTTAAGGATTTTGCATTTTGTACTAAGACCAACAGGAAGAAATTTAAGGTTTTAAATAAGATGTGCAATTTTTAGGAAGTTTGCAGGTAAAAAATGAGGGCAAGAGACCTACAGCTGAATACAGCAAGACTATCAGCATCAAAACAACCCCCACCCTAAGATGGTAGGGGTCGAGCTAGGGCTGCGTCTGGAGCTCACAGACCCCTCAAGCCCATTGTCCAGACTGGCTCACAAACCCTTCACACACAGGTCTCCAAGCTAGGTAACCTGCAAAGGTCCTTGGAGTGGTAGGTTCGAGAGCATGGCGGCATGGGGTGGATGCCCAAGGCAGTAAAATGCCAGCCAACTGGCCACTACGTACATACGCACTAACTCCACCCACACAAACTTATTTACAAAGAATGTGCCACACCACCCCCAATCAGACCCAAGGTGAGGGGGGCTGATTAAATTATTCTATTTTCCCAACAGTAGGGGAGGGGACATTTGGTCTGGAAATACCACTGTGAGGGAGTAGGACCTTGTCCATCACCTGATTCTGATGCTAGAGTATAAGGCATGAGCACCCTCCACTCAAGAGAGACGCAGTGTCACCTGGGGAGGGATTGTTTTCAGTTTAGTTTGTTTTCAGCTCAGCTGAAATTCAAAGCTGAGTGGGAGGTTAGATCAGAGCTGGGAATTCTACAGGGCACCAGTAAAGGGCTTGGTTAAGGAGGTCTGTAAAGGTGAGTCAGGAAGAGGAAAGCCCCAAGCATTATGGGGATTAGAGGGTTGGTCCTTTGAAAGGATGGGTTGGACAATAACAGAGGATAGCTAGAGTAAGAGGTCTGAAGGCTTGGTTCCTGCCCACCCGCCCCTCCCCCCCCCGGCGGCTGGACGGTAAGGGGATCTAAACCTGTGACCTTAATGTTATAAGGCTACACTCTAACCAACTGAGCTAACCGGCCAGCTGAGGCTTGGGTTCTGACCATCTCCTGAGTGATGGTGGCCTCAGTGTTCATCTGTGGCCTGGGAGAAGATTTCCCTCTAAGTCAGAGGTCATAAACAAGCAGACACAATCTAGCCTGCAGGCATGTTTTGTTTGCTCACATTTAAAAAATGTGTTAATATTAGTTGCTAATATTTAAATCAGATATCACATAAAAATGCACATTTCCAGTTTTTTTAAAAATTGGAAGATCTAGAAACCCTGGTTCCTCAGTTTCAAAGGGAGATAGCCTGGAGCTAAGTAGTAGCTACTCATATGTGAACTTTTAGGCACTGAAATGATTATTTTAGTTTTTTAAAAAATATTTATTTACTCATAGAATCCATAGGTTCTCTATGGTTTGACTCTAGGTCTTACATTCTCCCAGTCTTCTGTATGAGTGGTCGCATCTCCTTGTTTTTCAGAAAAGTTCTAAGAATGATGTTCTTGATTCAGTGAGAGGTTAAAGGAAAGCTTCATCCGTTTACACAGGTGTTGTCTCCATTGGAGAAACATGTACATTCCCTGCAGTTCACCACTGTTCTCACCACTGCCCTAGTCCAGCAGCACTCTTCTTCCCTCATCTATCTGGCCATCATAAGCATTTGAGTTTGCAACCCTTGCCTTAAACTTTAAATCAAACCGACTGCAGTGTTATGTGTTTGTTGGTAGATACTTGGTTAACTAACTCCAAGGGACAGTGACTGAAATCTTAAAGTTTACATACTTTAACCTCAACAGCCCCTTTGTCAATATTCAGCAGTTAGTTAAACGGGAAGTCAGTTGATAGTGCCAAGAAGGAGAGAGGCAAGTGCCTTTTTGTTTACCTGAGATAGACATACCAATTTGGTACTTTATCCTATATTCACCTCCTATACGTCAGAGTGAGGGGAAGGTATATATTTCCATAGTTCTTGTGTCTGCAGTACTGTTCCTCTGCTCCAATATATATACTCATATATATATATGAGTAAAAAAAATTTTTATTTTAAGTAAAGTAAGAAAATATAGCGGATTAAGAGACTGCAAAGCTTGGTCGTGGGTGCCTAAGTGTTTGTTATTGCTACAGTTTTTTGTTCCCTTGATGTATTGTTCATAGTCAAAAGATGACAAAATTGCTTCTGCCTACAAAATTTGTCCACCATGCCCTTCTTCATTTGAATGGAAAATAGCTTTATTAGCTTATGAAGGCTTCTCACTTGACAAGACAAGCTAAGGAGGGAGATAGAGGAATAAATGACAGTTTGCTTCTTTTTTTCTCCATCCACCTCCTCTACTACCACCAAAAACGATAAATGGTTACATCCAGTTTTTGATTGACCTGAAGCTTCTACTACTTTGTGGATTGGGGCTTTTTAAAGAAGCAATACAGAAATATCTTTTTTTTGCAAATTAAACTCTCCCCCTCCCCATCCATGTGAATTCCTTGCTTTGTCCCTCCCAGGTGAGGGGCCCTGAAGCTTGAGCTTCATTAGCCTTCTAATTATTCTGCCCCTGGGCATAGGCAGTAACCTGTCAACACACTGCTCAGATGCCTTTCCTTCCTTCTCTGTTCTGCTACCCTGATGCCCTCCTAGACTGAGGGTAGAGCCCTCATGCTCCCTCCCTGGAAATTCACAGCTCCTGAGGTATCTTCACCTGAGCCTCGAGCTCAGGCTCTTCTGGTTACCCTTTTGATTCCTTGCTCCGTGTGCACTAAAGCTTCAGGTCTGATGCTTGACAAGAAAGGGAAATCATAACCCCAATTGCTGTAGTCTTTCAGCTACTCTCAAATCTACTGAAACAGGAAGCCTTATCTTAGAGACTTTTTCCCCTTCAGAATCTCTAGGAATTACTAAAGAAAGGTAGAAACTAGAACTAAATTCCAATTAACTTTGTCACTGATGGTTATATAACTCAGTGTGAATCACAGTTTAAGTGGGACATTAAATCTCCAGCTAATGGAAGTTGCCAAGAATGGCAAACCAGGCCCCAACGCTCATATAATCTTTACTACCCAGCGTGGAAAACACTACGGTGGAGGCAGAGAACATTTGTCAGTGTAGATGTGTCCACTACAAGGAGAGTGAAGGCAGGCCGAACCAGCCAGGTCTGCAGATTCTCCAGGGAACAGAGTAGGCCGAGCAGATCTTTGGGCCAGTAGCTTAAATGTGGGGAGTTCAGAAATGCTTTGGGGTTGCCTGTCCTTTTGCTAAGATGGCTGATATGTGTGGGTGTCTGGAGGGTTGGGGAGGAAGAGGCAGGACCTCCTTATCAGTATGGCTCCTCTTACTCCTATAGACCTGCTCCTGTTAATCTGTTTCTACAGGCAGCAGCTCTCAGCTGCTTGCATTTGATAGCATGTTTTGCATCCGGATTTATTCCCACCAACAGTTCCATCTTGAGGTAGGTGAGATGCTATTTAGATGAGTTCCACATTTGGTGTTAACATTGCTTTAAATCATTAATGCTGCTTGAATGTTGAACTGATGTCTTAGGTACCTTAGATTTTCTCATATATGGTGTAGCCTGTGGCACTGAAGAGCTAGTTGCTGCCAATCAGTGATACATACCAGATATATGTGGTGGTTTATTGAATTAACATGTTTAATGAATCTATAATAAAATGGTGAGACCGGTAAATATTTCTTTTTCCACCAGAGGAAAAGCAGAGTAAGAAGGATGCCTTCAATGTAGAGTCAGCTGCTAAGAGCTAGGAGTTCCTTCTAGTAGCTACTAGTCATTCTTTTAGACATCTATAATTCATTCTATTAAGTCCTCTCTACTGTAAGCATAAACTGCCTTTTTATCTGGCAGAAAGACAGCATGCCACTAGAATGAAGTGTTCTGTTATTTTATATCGTACAATTAATATATTATCCAGCCATCAGAAAATTTAAGTCACCTAGCTTCCCTGTAATTAATTATCTGTAGAATATGCCTGTATGTACCACAGTGTGTGAGTTACCGGATGTCTGATGTCAATACTCTTCAGAGGAATTTTGGTTTACTTTAGAAAGTTGTGCTTCCATTCCCAGGTAGTCAGTTGAATGAAGAATGTAACTTGTATTTTTTGTCTTCTCTTTCTAGATGTATTGCTGTCCTTGAACATTAGCCCATTTGAAGACACCAGGGAAGCTCAGCCATGTCCAAGTACAAACTTATTATGTTAAGACATGGAGAGGGTTCTTGGAATAAGGAGAATCGTTTTTGTAGTTGGGTGGATCAGAAACTTAACGGTGAAGGAATGGAGGAAGCTCGGAACTGTGGGAAGCAACTCAAAGCACTAAATTTTGAGTTTGATCTTGTGTTCACATCCGTCCTCAATCGGTCCATCCACACAGCCTGGCTGATCCTGGAAGAGTTGGGGCAGGAATGGGTTCCCGTGGAAAGCTCCTGGCATCTAAATGAGCATCACTATGGAGCCTTGATTGGTCTCAACAGGGAGAAAATGGCTTTGAAACATAGTGAAGAATAAGTGAGGCTCCGGAGAAGAAGCTACAACGTGACTCCACCTCCCATTGACCAATCTCATCCTTACTACCATGAAATCTACAATGACCGGAGGTATAAAGTATATGATGTACCCTTGGATCAACTGCCACGATCTGAAAGCTTAAAGGATGTACTGGAGAGACTCCTTCCCTATTGGAATGAAAGGATTGCTCCTGAAGTATTAAATGGAAAAACCATTCTGATATCTGCTCATGGAAATAGCACTAGGGCACTCCTGAAACATCTGGAAGGTACCAGCTTTATGTACTACTTATTAGAGGTCGCTAAATGTTGTAAGTGGGCCTTAATCCAGACATTAAGCTAATAATGTACTATTTAAATAATAGACTTTCCTTCTTTATCCCCCTTTGTCACATTAGACTTAATCTTGCTCTATAAATCAAAACTCATATGCCTTTTATATTCATATTATCTGAAGCAATGGTTCTCAAACTTTAGTGAGCATCAGAATCACCAGGAGAGCTCAGTATGACACAGATTGCCAGTTCCACCCTTGGAGTTCCTGAATCAGTAGATCTGGGGTGCAGCCTGAGAATTTTCATTTCTTAGAAGTTTTCAGGTGATGCTGATACTGCTGTTTGGGGTTCCACACTTTGAGAAGCACTGATCTAAAGGATTATATGACTTTTGTTGTAAGATGAAAGAAGGCTAGGAAGGGAAGAAATTGTAGAAATGGTTCTTCAAACAATTATTGCTGTGGTTTTGGGCCTAGGTTTCCTGAGCAATTCTTTTTTTTTTTTTTTTTTTGTCCTTTTTGAGACCGGCCGCACCGCGCTCAGCCAGTGAGTGCTGTGAGCGCACCAGTCATCCCTATATAGGATCCAAACCCGCGGTGGGAGTGCTGCTGCGCTCCCAGTGCCGTACTCTCCCGAGTGCGCCACGGGCTTGGCCCCCTGAGCAATTCTTTTATTCCAGTCCTTTCTTTCTAGACCAGGCTTAGTCATTGATTGAGAGAAAGTTAGAGGGAAGGAAAATAAAAGGATAGTTGGCTTATTTATTTAGTTTGACTCAAAAACCTTGGAGATAATCAGTAACCTTAAATTTATTTTAACTACTTGATGCCGTATTCTAAATGCACTATAAAACATACTGTATAGTTACCTTCTTCTTAAGTAACATGAACTAAATGAACTCTTTTGAGGACTCAAGTTCACCAATTTTGGGCACTGATGATTGCACTGTGACACCTGCAGGAGATTTTTCGTTCCCCTCTCCCCCTTCACTAATTCCAGATGGTTGTGCTTTTTGAGTGATCTGCACTGTCTGCTGTTATCCTGTGTTTCATCACTGTCAGCAGTTAGCTTGCTGTTAGTATAATGCATTTCTCCATCACCCCTTTTTGTTCTGCTTTGCTGTCCTATAAGAAGCTATAAAAAAATGAAAAGGTTGATATTGCATGTGAAATAAGTGGAAATAGGTTATTGGTAACAAAATGATCTTTAGCATGTGGTTATTTTTCCCTAATTTTTAACATGGCCAAGAGCCGAATCATTATTCATATACCTCACATCCATTAATCATGCAGAGATCTAAAATCTACAGACTTTATTATCTATTAAAAACTTTATTGGCTGCACATGGTGCTTCCTTGTTCAGGATAATCAGATATTTGATTAAATGATATGTAACTTCTGTATTAGTCTGTTTCTGTTGCTTATAACAAAATACCTGGAACTTAGTAATTTATAAGAAAACAAAATTTATTGCTTACAGATTTGGAGGCTGGTAAGTCCAAAGTCCAGGGAACACTTATGGTAAAAGCCTTCTTTGGTGGTGACTTTGGTGACACAGGGTCTCACATGGTGAGAATGGTGGAGCAGAGAGAGAGAGACTCTCACGTGCTCTCCTTTTAAGCCCTCGTAACCATGCCCCTGACCACCATTATTAATCCATTCACTATGGCATGGTCCTACAGTCCAATCACCTCTTCAAGGCCCCACCTTTCAATTACCATAATAGAATTTCTCACCCTTTTTACACTGTCACAGTGGAGACTAAGTTTTGGGGGGACATCAATCCATGGCAACTTCATCATAAGTGGACTATAGTACTTTATTGTTTGAAGAAGAGTTGAGGTTTCCATTAGGAGAACAACAAATTGAAATTTGGAATTTCAAAGTTTCTGCCAGAAGATGTACTCTATCCGACCATGCCAACCTTTTTCCAGAGATGGTATTTATATCTCATTGTGGTCAGGCTCCCTTCCTTAAAGAAAAAGCCACCTTTTTTTCTTTCCTTCTTAGCTAGGAAATCCTACACCCCCCCTCCCCCCACTTAAAAAAAGTTTCTTGCTGTTTGGTACCATTTACTCTTCACCTGTCTTCAACTTCAAATCTCTTTAAGATTACTCTGCAGCTCCAATCACAGCTCATTCTAGATACCTCCTCCTACTAGTGCATTGATGATTTAACTATTTGTTACTGTTCTTTTTTAAGGGAAATAGGAGGAAGGTTTAACAATTGGTGGTAAAGAAGATGTCACCATGTTTGGGGCAGAGGAAGAATTACCTGTAGGGGGTGAGTTTAGACATAGAAAAGCTTTTCTACATTTGAGAGAGGTTTTGAAACCATTAATTTTTTGGAAAATAATTGAATCAAATGATGTACCTGCTTTGGAAAACAATCTGGCAGTTCCTCAACGGGTTAAGCATGGAGTTTCCCTATGATCCAGCAATCCCACTCCCAGGTATAATATACCTGTATTAGTTTTCTAGTGCTGTCAAAAAAAAAAGTACCAAAAACCGGTGGCTTAAAACAACAGAAATTTATTTTCTAGGGGCTAGAAGTTCTAAATCAATGTGTCAGGAGGGTTATGCTTTCTCTGATGGCTCTAGGAGAGAATTCTTTCTTGCCTCTTCTAGCTTCCAGTGTTTGCCTGCAGTCTTTGGCATACCTTGGTTTGTATGAGCATCACTCCAGTCGTCACATAGCATTCTTTCTGTGTGTGTGTTATGTGCGTGTGTTTCTTGTCCAAATTTACCCTTTTTATGAGGACATCAATAATATTGAATTACAATAGATAATATAATTACAACATATAATATAACATGTATAATACATTATAATATAACATATACTATAACATATTATAATAATACTGAATTTAAAAGGACACCAATAATATTGAATTAAGACCCACTCCGGTGACCTCATTTTAACATGATTATCTCTGTTAAAGGCCCTGACTCCAAATAAGGTCACATTCTGAGTGACCCAGCTGGAGGTTTGGACTTCAACATATCTTTTTAGAGGGGGACACAGTTCAACCCTTAACAGTGCCCAAGAGAAATGAAAGCATATATCCACACAAAAACTTGCACACAAATTTTCATAGCAGCATTATTCATAATAGCTAAAAAGTTGAAGCAATCCAAATGTCTATCAACTAACAAATGGATAAATTGTGGTATGTTCATACAATAGAATATTATTCAGCAATTAAAAGGAATGAAGTACTGATACATGCTATAACATGTATGAACCTTGAAATAATGTTACACAAAAGAAGCCAGTTACAAAGGCTAATCACATACTAGATTCCATTTATACAAAATATCCAGAATAGGCAAATCTATAGAGACTGTAAGTAGAGAAGTTATTGCCTTGGGATGGAGATGGGGTGGGGGGACACTCAGTGACTGCCAGTGTCTCTATAAACAGTTTTTATTGAAAAGGTTTTTATTTGGGGGGTAACTGATTTAAAACAGTGAAGTTGGTAAGGAAGGAGGTAAATTGTAGGAAGAGATTAAGTAGGAAGTAATTCTCACAACCACTGTAAAAACTTCTACCATAGGCTTAGTATCTAAAAGCATCCTATTCTGTAGCGTTCCAGACAGTGCATGTTTCTTTCTCTGTGGCTGGCACAGTCACTTCCTGTTTGTTTCCTGTTGGCCCATGTTGAAGGAAAAGCCAGGTACCAAACTGAAGCATTGGATGTCATCTGCATCTTGCCAAAGGAAGTGGATTGTTTAGTCTGGGTTCAAACACAGGACTAGGCAGTTTCAAGTTTGGAAAAAGAGTGGCACGCAAGACACTCACAAAGGGCAGACTTGATCTCTGAAGAATTGTGTGCAGCTGCACACATAACTAGGCAAAGAAATGGTGAGATGAAATAAGAGAATCAGGGAGGAAAGGTCAGCTGGGACTAGCTGTGGGCATGGGACTGACAAGTTAGTCACCTTTGGCATTTTAGTGTGATATTTTCAGAAGCAAATTCAGGCGTCTCTTCTGTGAGGCAGACAGTTGCCTAGTGGTATGGTTAAACTTTCTTTTATTATCATTGATTCTTAGAAACACTTTTTCTTTTTTTTTTTTTTCTGACCGGTAAGGGGATCGCAACCCTCGGCACTGTGTTGTCTGCACCACGCTCAGCCAGTGAGCGCACCA